TGATGTCATGAAATGATTACTGGTGTAACAGAAAAGAAAGAGCGACGAGTCTTGCGTTTGGTGGTGATTGGTGAATATTAAAGATATGTATTACGTAGCATATCAGCAAGATCGGTTTTCTCCGCGGACTACGTTTAGCTCAGTTATGTTTCAGTGTTAATATTTGAATGAAGTGCTGCAACCAGCTTTGACCCAATTAAAGAGTGAAAAAAACAGACACCAATTTCGTTTTGTGCTTGTCCAAGCTTGCGTATTCTATAAAATCCAGCGTTCCAAAAGGTTAAACTGGAGACTAACACAACAAACAGCGTGTGCAAGGCTGTTTTTATTCCCAGCGCTCGTTACAGCGAATTCCGAATTTTGCTAGGGCATGTATGTACCCGGGCCAGTGGTATGCATGTCATCGAATGACGAAGTGTTAACATCTTACTTTTAAAAGAAACACTATTAAAAGGGTCTAAGTATCTTTATACGTACAACTGCCTCTGCGCTCGTGCATTTATGCACTCCATTAGATCGTCCTGTAGAAAAACAGTTTCATTGACGAAGAAAGTCTGGAGCATCTGCATAAACCCGTCTTTATCAAGGGAAGCTCCGCTTGCGTGCCCCAGTTCACCGAATAAGATGCAATTCGTGAAGATTATTCCAGCAATCTGTGCAAAAAACAGTTTTGCCAAATGTTGGTATTTTGAAATAACTCAAAGGCGATCCTTTCCTCCATATCTAAAACAACAAAATTTACCTCCAGACAGATTTTTCGTGTTAAGAACAATCTACCGAGGGAAAAGCCGTTCGGATCTCTATCAATGACATCCAAGAGATCCTGTGAGTCCTTTGCGTAGGGTTTCTGCTGGCACGCGTGGCGCCTTAGTGCCGGCACCATAGAACGCATCTGTTGGTACAACAGCAAGCGACCGAATACCGTGTTAAGACTTTATGTTTTACCCAAATATAGTCTTTACTCAGAAGGTACATTTTCTGGGGCAGAAGACTGAGTATGATAACTGTTTTCTACTTACACTTTCTCCTAGCCGAACGAAGATGACCGCAATGAAAGCAAGTCTAATTCCCGAACAAGTCACGAGAAAGAGGTAAACCCGTTGATAACGCCATTTTTCGCAAAACTCTTTCCCACGTCATATGATGATGTCACCATGTAGATCATGGTTTGTACAGCGAAGAATACACTCACGTAGGCGTTATGTGCACAGTCGGCGAAGGTTTTAGAGCTCTTGGTATTTTTGTTTCTGTATACACCGCCATAATTAAGTTTCGAGATTTACACTTTAATCCTCATTCGTAAAATATGTACTTAAAGAAACAAAAGTGTTGGTACTGCATGGTCAAACACGACAGAAATCACTAAAATAAACGCTTGTCTTATCTATATGGTCTGACGTTTGGAGAAGTAGCAACGTGATACGCAATGTAGGGTTCTGCCTAATAAAGTGAACAACAGTTTGTTGCTGGTACCACTTGTTTATAGCTTGTTTGTAAGGCAGTCAGCTTATTGAGGTAACTTTTATAAATGATTCGTTAGATAATAAGCTTAATTATGTGCACCGATTCCGAAAATTATTATTTTAACAATCTAACATTGTAAACTTAAAAGTGTGTAGATGACGTTGTTGGTGTGCTGACAATTTTAACTTAATCATTTTCTGGACTACGGTGATGATTATGCTGTATATTATATTGTTACGGTATCATGTTATACCATTGTTACACACCTTGAAACTTAATTAAGGCGGTGTATACAGAAACAAAATATCAAAAGCTTTAAAACTTTCGCGGATCGTGCACATAACGTACCTTTGCAGAATAATGTGCAAAACCGTGAAACCGGAAACGCGTAAAAAACGTTTAGAAATGGCAATGTGCTAACGGTAATTCGTTTTCCAAACGGCAAAGGCTTTTACAGACGGCGTTCTGAAACGGCAAATTGGAATGCTAACGGCTTTTCCGACGGCAAAGGCAAAGGTAAAGGTAAAGTTGAAAACGGCAAACTGAAACGTCAAAGGCAAATGGACGGCAAAGGCGAAGTTGGCCGACCCTTATCTTACCGTTACAAAGTGTCGGGTTATACGGCAGAGGTACTTGTATGTGCTAAGCACTCACGATATTAGAAATGGTCTTTTGGGATTTTTCTCGAGAGTTATAGCACACAGCCGTACCTATGTGTCGTACCTTAGTACCTAATGATTCCGTCATGCCGATCCTTCTGTATATTCCGCAGGGCCAGCGAACAATTATTTTCATGGGCGACGGTTGAATCATATAAGTGCAAATCTTACTTCCGTATAAATGTATGTGCTGCACCTCTCCTGAACAGAAGAAATGTCGAAAGCCGATAAAACGTCCAGCGATGGAACTAGTTTTTGGTTCTTTCGAGGAGCCTGAATGAAACCGCTCAAGAGCTTGACGTGGCTTTAAACTTGTACAAGATCACTAACTAATCCAGGCGACGGATGTACACGTCGCTTACCTATTTGTCAGAATGTTTTCATCACATTCTTTCCTTTGTCCTTCTATTTCTCCGTGCTTATCGATTCGCATCCAGTGAAACTGCATCATGATCGTTTATCCACTATAAATTTCCGGTGTACTCCTATATCTGACTGTTTTTCAATTGGGTGCTTTATAATCTGCAGTAGCGGCCAACTGGCGCTAATCTTTCCCTCCGAAAACTTGCTTTTCGGTTTGATCATAGCCTAAAATAGTGTGTAGTGATACACATTTCGGGTAGTGATAAACGTGTAGTGTGAAGTAATAGTTGTCCAAGTGTTCCAAATCAAACCGTTTGATACAACAAGAAGTAAAGCAAACTCAAAAACTAACTTAGGTTTCTTATTGTCTTAGTTTTCTTAAGTTTCCTTACTTCCAGCTTTCTCAAATCAACAAAATGTTGTCAGCAAGTTGACGGTTTTTACAAAACGTCGTCCACTGAGATGTCGTTCAGCGATTGGTCGTTTCAACAAACCGTCGGGTCACCGTTTCGGCGGTTAGCAAAAAGTCGCAACCAAATTGTCGGTCAGCGGGATAGTGGTTTCTGGTCAACGAATTGTTAGTGTGCCCGTCAGAATGTCCTGTCTGAGCCCAATAGCGATAAAATGCACGCGCTCGAGGCACTCGGCCGCTTGGAGATATCCCGGACGCCATTGGCGATTGACAACGGTCACCAGGAAACTGAACGGGATATGAACGGGGGCGTTGTTCGTGCTGACAAGATTCGATGTGCTGGCTATTCCACTGATGATGGAATCGCTATCGGAGGAACACTAACGGCCCCTCTGAATGTTTTTGCCACCGGCGGTATTGTGGATATGTTGTTCCGAACTTGTTCCTCTCGGGGTCTTCATTTGGGAGTTCATTTCTGTTGTTTGGACGGATGGTCGCAGCGGCCACTTTGAATTCCCTGGTGAATTGTTCAAATTCGCTTAGCTTGTATGGTATTAATGGACTGACGACGCGAAAATCAGACGTATAACATGCCACTACTCTTTAGCATATGGCAGTAATGGCACACTGTATGTCATAAACCATTATTTTTTAAGTACTAGAACAATAAAAGTTGTCAGCTACTGCATTATTACAGGCACAAGGAATTGCTAACATGTATTGTATTACAAATTAGCGGAAACCGCTTCTGAGTGGAAGCACAAGATTGAAAGCATTGCAAGCACCCTAACCCATCGCCTGCGTGATAACCCGGTTGGATTTACTGCGTAAAGACTGTTCAGTACATGTATTTGACAAGAAGTTCATCGTGACGGTAATCCGTCTCTCCAAAATCTTGCCAAATGCATTGATAACAACGGGAGCGCATAACTTATTTGCCAAACAGCCAGCAATATACTGAAAAATCATAGTAATTAGTAAGTGACTATAACCGCCAGAAAAAAAGTATAAATTGGAAGACTGACGCGAAATGTAGGCGGAAATGGTTTAAGATACAAAGGACACCGATGCAGTTTGTGAAGTGTCAAACTACCAGAAATAGAGGGCCAATAAGCGAATTATGATGTTAATAATCACCTCAACACTTAGAACTTGTACATGGTTTTTTGGTGCAGTAATAATTTCTGAGTGTTAAAATTTCTTTAAGATCCTCCACCGCGGGATTCAGCAAGCGTGTGGATACAAGGGCAATCAGCACTAACAATATCCCGCCACTATTAAAATTAATAACAGCAAGATTGTGATAATTAGTAGCGGTGTTTTATCGTACAACGAAGTGCTGGGTACCGTGTACCGTACATATGTATATTGACGACGGTTATTATACGCAGCATGCTGTTTAAAACAGCGACTGAACAGCACGCGCAAGGAGAATTTCTGAGAGCGCACAACGAGCAGAACCGGCCTTGGTCTGCATCCATGGAAATTGGAAATAACCATTTAAACGAAGCAGCGAGGAAGTATCTTCCAATCGCGTGTAAGCGTAAGCACCTGCTGTTGGCATTTGCAGTTTGCTCATACAACCGCATGTTTTCCGATGCACCACAGAAAACTTGCTGTTTTTCACTGCTTTCGAGCTCCGGACCAAGTGAAGACCTGAGTTGACCTCCCTAAACAGTTTTTCGAAATAGAAATTCTCTGAAAGAAATGGTTCAGATGGACACAGATACAGATTCCTGGGATATGTTAATAGTTTTTCGCTATTACACTGTACAAAGTACTGTGTACTGCATATCTATATTGTGTGCAAGCTCTACTGGCAAGTGGCACAGCTTCTCTGTTTGCAGATACTATGGGTGTAATCCAGTTTGCAACGTTAGGATTTCCAACTAAATCATACTTGCTGCAACAATAGCCGACGAGAGCCGAAAATTAATAGAAAATGCCTCTGCATGCCGGTCTTGCTTGGGTTGTGATCATAATACGTATGATCAAAATGCGGCACTTCCGCATGCAGGTTATTCTGGTAAGACTTTGTACAACTGCAGCACTGAAAGAGTTGTTTTAATGCTGAATGAGATTTCATGGTCGTACACAATTTGCAGAAGCGTACTGTAGGTCTTTATCTGGCAGAAAACTCAATCTAATGTTTGCCGACCCCGACTAATAGACCTTCAAAAACCCAAAGTTCCACAATCTCACAACAACAGATAAAAAAAACTGAAGTACAAGATTACCAACCCTTATGCCGATTTTAGAATTCCAGAGGAGTATATCCACGCAGTCCACAGTACCTTCATGTTTTTTCGCAAACTACAGGGATTAATCCGGACAAATGCATACCTGATAAAGCAAGGACTCATACAATGACTAACCTGGAACTGAAGCTGTAATACATACTATCAATTGGTAATACTACCACGGCACTCGTCATGGTAAGCTACTGAATTTAATTTTGAAACCATTTGCAGTTCAGATGTTTAAACGGCTTGCCGCTTGCTGCATCAAGCCGTGAAAGATCAGTCAACTCCTTTCAAACTCGCGGTACCTACCTTTCTGCATCCTCATCGTCACACAACCAAAACCACTTTTCGGTGTTAACAGCCGGCTTTCGTGCAGCGTCCACGTGTCCGTAACTTCGTCGTAAAACTCAATGGAGCTGTCGCAATTCCTGATGTCCTCAGTACACCCACCGAGAACGTAAATCTTCCCGTACGCACACGCGCTCCCAGGCATATTGCGTCTTCTAAGCATGTCAGCTACATAAAAAAGGGTTCACGAACGAGTAATGATACTACTGTTTGTGAGCATTAGCTAACACGAAGTTGCGGGTGGAACCAGTGAACGACAGAATAATAACCTTCTACCTTTTTTCAGCCATTTATCAGCAGCTGGATCGTAAGCTTCCGTGCAGCGCAGACATTCTTCGGGCTGTTTGCCAGCATCCCCACCTACGAATAACAATCTTTGTTAACGATAGTTGATTCCCGTATTCTAAAACTCAGCAATCCTGCGATATACCGCTTCTTTATCGTACGTAATGCTCGTGTGGGGGAGACTTGACTAGCTTAGCATATCTGAAGTTCTTTAAAGGATAAGGATATCCCAGAGTGCCCGTTTACGGACTTGGCTACTCGAAAATAAATAAATTAATCAGCAAGTCAATGAATTAAACAGTAGAACATCAATTTGTTATTTTCGATTTTAAATGTTTTCGACAAACATTTAACGTATTACTATGTTGTTAAATGAGCGAATATTGCGCATTTCTTACCGACGACATAAATCAGTCCGCTCGGACCAATGCAAGCAGAACACCACCGTCGACCAGTTAGCATATCGCCCTTCTGGCTCCAGGCATCCCCAACTGGATCATAGCAGAAAACTTTATTGCTCACTCCCGACGGCGAATTTCCTCCGAACACATACAGCCGATCGTTGGAGGCCACCATAGCGAAATCCTCCAAAGCCAGCGGTAAGCTAGCTACATATTTCCAAGAATTTCTTTGCTGGTCGTAACATTCCATTGAAGTTAACTCTCTCCAATCATCCCCATTGATCTGACAACCTCCCACAGCGTATATACGATTGTGAAGTACAGCCACCCCATGACATCCCCGTCGTTCTATCATTGGTGTCACAGCCGCCTACTGATTACGAACGGGGTTGTACTGGTTGGCTTTCGGCGTACTGCTCATTCCATCATCAAATTCGATAAGTCCTCCACACACAAATATCGAGCTGTCGTCCAGTACGACCACACCGCAGTTGGCGACTGGCTGTGGTAAATCCTTGAAATGGTACACCATCGGTATCGATGGGCTAAAAACATTGGTTTCGTTCAGGGTGTAATGGTCCGCAGAGTTGCCACCAAAGCACGAAATCACTGTAGGAAAACCTTCAAACAAATATTAACAAATTCGATTAGTTGTTAATACTAAACTGCATTATTATCTACATAATAAGTTATTCTGCTTTTAAAGTACTGTTAATGTTATTACTAATAAGCTGCTCTGACTGTTGTTATGTCAAATGGCAACACTTCACCCTTTCAGGTGAGCTGCGAGAAACTATCGTCCTGCTTTTACAATGCTTGCTTAAGAAAAATAAAAACAATTAATCACTAAATACAAAATTATGTTGATGTTTTCACTTGATACAAAATTATGTTGTACCTCTGGTGAAATAAAGTATTAATCAAAAGCCCACCCCGAAATAAAGACTGAAGGATCGCAATGGCTCCCCGTCTTTGAAAACATTTTGCCCGAAAAAAGGCTATGCGAATCCTTTACGATAAAATAGTCCTCTACGATAAAATGGTATGCAGTTGGTAGAATACGGTATCACGGTTATTTCTCATTGCCGATTAACAAAAAATGAGCGCAATGGCGCAGTAAAATAACACTACCATTAGTACCATGTGATTCTCGCGGTCGGCCTCGGGATGTAGCAGCCTCCGCTCTCCGGCCCGGAAGTTCATTGATAACTCCAGATGAACTCGCACCAGTACACGGAACGCTCTGGAAGCCATTGTAAAGGGCCAGAAAATAATCTTCTAGGCAACCGGGATCGAGAAAGGTAACGCGAACAAACTGCAGAACATCCGACAACTGCGCCTTGCGTCCAGCCGTGTCGTGATCAAACCAACGCTTCACCGCGCGAAAAACGTCGTCCTCCTTCTCCACGTGCAAGGCATCCGACACGAACAGATCCATCAACTACCGACAAAAACACAAAATAGTGATATGATAAACATCTGGCATCTGCAGCAAATAAAGAACCGAAAGTTAATTGGAGAGTTTGTTGTCGAACCCGAAAATCAAAAGAAAACGAAGAATCGCTCATTTCGCAAAAATATTCAAAATTAATGGCAAAATTTTAGCGGGTAATCAGTACTATGGAAAATCTCGAAGTATGTACATACTTTATCTGCGTCTATCAGCAGAAAGTCTTCGCCTCGTGAAACTTGAGCAAAGTGACGGAGTACGAGGTTCTTGGCTTTCTCAGCCAGACACGGATTTTTATGGGTCTCCGATGCAGAGTAGACCATCAAGCAGCTGGAAGAATCCAAGTGAGTTTGTAGGAAATCCCAACAAATATCTGCGACAGGAGCAATATCCAGGAATAGCGCCGCAGTCAGAACGGACTGAACGTTCTCTTCGTGGACGTCGATTTCCATTGTGTATGCAAAATCGATGAGCCTGACAACACAGACAGTTATGGAGTACCTGACTAGTTATACAGAATTCACATCCTACTTTGTACTATGACGTTACTGAATGACAATTGGCTTCTGAGTTCTCTCATTTTTCTACAGTATCGACTATCGAAAAAGACGCAATACGGGAACCATACAAACAACCTGAATTAAATAATTTATGCGTGATAAATATCATAAATTCTTTAAAAGTACTTGCTCACTTGTGTAACATTTGGCTGGGGGTGTTCTTCAGCTGGATTTCCGACTGGGAGGACTCTTTCCATCCAGACGTGAATAGGGTGCGAAAATAGCTGCTGTGTGCGCTGAGGACATTACGGTGGCATGGAATATTAGCTGCGCTGTTCTCCGATCCTTTAAGGACCACATCGCACAATGTTCCTGTGGACTTAAGTTCTCGCAGTCCGCGTAGAAATCCATGGGTAATGGCCATATAGTTCCCAGCGGCGTTCATAATTTACTGGACATGGGGAAAGGACAGCAAACAATTTTTGTGGCTGAAACTAAACAACCGCAGCTACACTTCGAAATGCTGGCTGTGATTGCAAGTTTTGTAGCACTAGCAGAGAGTTCTCTCCACTAGCACGATCAATAAAAATAAATCAAATACGAGTACTGTAATCAAGTCTCTGACTCTCTACGAGAGCAGACATATTATAGTGCAGAAGTATCGTTTATTTCAATTTTTATCTCAATTTTGCGTGAGCTGCAGCACCGGATCAAAACACCGAGGCGGTGAGCAGGCGACGGGCAGCTCTGGCAGTACTTTGTTCAGTGTGACTGCTGACAAATTACGTGTAAATTTTAAATATTCGAAAATTTATAACTTTGTGTATTCTTTAGCAAAAATTGTATCCATAGGCTTGAAAAATACATAATAATATACACTTTTTGACAGTATGAATGCGATTTTTTATTTCGATTGCAAAGTAATGATAGGACTCTCCGCATTTACCATACTCCTCTATGGCAAACCCGGTGCTGGCTTTTATCCGTTTTCTCATAGAGGACTATGTTAAATCCGGAGAGTCCTACGAGAGGAAAACGTAGAAAACACCAGAAAACAGGGATAACCAAAGGAAACTTGCCCCACGATTTCAAAAGACTGAAATAAGCGGTGGCTGAAATGTGTGCTGGCAAATTGAAATGAGCATGAGCCGAAGTGTGCCGTGAAGTGAACTGTGGCCGAAGTGATCGGATGCGATCGCATGCGTACGTAACCGCAGTGTAATGCGGGCGAAGGGCAAAAGGCTATGTTACGTTTTCCTGATGTTTTCTTATGTTTTCTCACGTTTGTAACTTTTCTTAGGCTTTCTTTAGTCATTCTTAGGTTTCAGATGTTTTGTTGTGTTTTCAAAGTCAGTTTTTCGTGCCTTTGCAGACATACGAGTAATACAGAAACATAAGAAAGATAAAAGCTAGAACAATACAACAAACTCTTCTAGCTCTCTTGAATATAGGATTTAGCTTTTAAACAAGGGATCGATATGCGGAAACATGAGATACTGTACCTTGAGTAACTAAAATGCGTAAATGGTGTGACTCTCGAGACAAATACCAAAAGTTCATTTCCTAATATTGTAAGTGCTTAGTACATATCGCCGTCGCGCCACTCAATAGCGGTACACTGCTGCAAGGTAAATACGAGGTACCTTTGTAGTGTTCTTTGTAGATTCAAACCGACACATTTTTTCTAATAAAGCTCCTGTCGCATTGATACATGTATACACTTAAATTAGAGCCAAAAGAATCCATCGATGGGCTGACAAATTTAGTAGTCCCATAATATATCGGGCACCGACCTAGACATTACGAATAACCATGCCGCCATCACAAAAGCAACCACCGCCGGGACATTTTTACAAACTGTACCGTTGTTGGATAATCGTATTATGGGTCTCGGGATTCGCTAATTTTCCGGTCGAGAATACAGGTGGCTCATTCGTCCGCAGGGCAGCCACCGCCTTTGCTGCCGTCCAGGCGGGTGTCGTAATAGCTATCCAGATCTATGACATGTATGATTACTGGCAAAATTACAGATTTATTACCTTCATAAACGTAATAATATATATCACGGGAGTTTTAGACTACGCGATTATACCGTATACAGCGTGGTTTGGATGGGTTTCCGGAAAGCGAATTTTACAGTTAATTTTCGATGTTGATGTGCAGTTTGGTTCGTTTTGTATCAAAAAGCAAACAAATGCTCTCTTGCTGGCATTAATTATCTGGATAGCATTTGAGCTATTCGTGCAGATTTTTAGCGTTGTCTTGAGCGATGTGAAATATTTTGACACATGCATCGGAGTAAATGATTGTGCTTTTCTTGGCATGTACACGTTCTTCTGGAGAATTCATGCCTTCTATCGAAGTCTCGTACAAAGCATGATTCTCTTTACCGGCCTTTTGATGACTCATTTAACGAGTAAAGTGCAGCATGACCTTTGGACAGCCGAAGGTGTCAAATTCCTGCATCCTTAAAGCAAGCCGGTAAAATTTATCGATTTACCAAGCTGTTTGGTAAGGAATTCGCCTACGTGAGTGCACTTTTTGCTGTCCAAAACGTGATCTACATGGTGACATCACCGTACGAAGTGGGACAAAGCTTTGCGGAAAATGGTGTAATAAACTGGTTTCATTTCTTTCTCGTGGCTTGCTCGGGAATTAGGCTCGTTGTCCTTATGGTCATCTTTGTTCGGCTTGGAGAAAATGCAAGTAGATTTGTTTAATCTACCTTCTGAATAAAGACTATATTTAAGTAAAAAATAAAATTTTAACGCTTTTATTCGGTCGGTTGCTGTTGTACCCAGCAGATACGCTCCTTGGTGCCGGCACTAAGACGCCATGCTTGCCAGCACAAATTCTACGCAATGGATTTGCTGGATCTCTTAGATGCTATTGAAAGAGACCCTAACGGCTTCTCCCTCGGTGGATTGTTCTTAACACGAGAAACCTGTCTCGAGGTAAATTTTGCTGTTTTAAATATGGATAGAATAAGATCACCTGTGAGTTAGTATTTTAAAATACATACCAACATTTGGCAAAATGTTCTTCACACAGATTGCTGGAATGATCTTCACGAATGCCATTTTATTCGGTGAATTGGGGCACGCAAGCGGAGCTTCCGTTGATAAAGACTGGTTTGTGCAGATGCTGCAGACTTCCATTGTCAACGAAACCGTATTTCTACAGGAAGATCTAATGGAGTGCATGAATGCACGAGCGCAAAAGCACTTGCACTAAAATAAACATACACTTTTAGAATTAAAAGTGTATGTTCATTCTCTCCTCAATTCTTACAACTGCGACATGACAGTCCAAAGTGATATCACTACTGCCTGTATCCAAGTGAAAAATAAATCTACGCTGTAGTTACGAGTGATTTTGGCAGCATGGAATTGCTACTGAAAGCTTGAATCGCGTTTTCAAAATTTGTTGACAACTACCTAAATAGTACTTCAGCACATTTCTTTCTAAGCATTTACTTAGTACACTTTTAGTGCTTGTATTAAAAGAAAGTAATGAAACACTTTTAATTTTTCTACATTCGATGGCATACATACTATGGGGTACTTGTATGCCGTAAGTAGCGGAATCGCTATATTCGGCGAACGCCCTGAGTAGCAAATTTCGCAGTTTGCTGTAACGAACGCTGGGAAATCAAAGCCGCCCTCCACATGCTGCTTTGTTGTGGTCAATTAATTGTCTCCAGTGTTAAATCAATGCATTCCAAATCATTCTTTTATTGCTGCACTCCCGATCCGGAGTCGTGGTTAAAAAATGAACTGCGTGAGATTTTTTAGACATACTGTACTGGGACTAAGTGCAACATCAAAACGCAAATTCACAGTCCGATAACTCGATAAGACTGCAGAGCGCAAACGTAACTTCTACAAACGGATGGTCGGTAGTCTGAACGACCTGTATGACAAAAGTTTCGCAGTGCACACCTGATATTCTTACATGTGCCCAGAAGTGCGTTTAGCGCGGTTCAAGGATTCGCGCCAACCGGATGGCATCCGGAGCGAACCCGGCTGCGACTCGTGTTAACATGATCTTTAAGACATGCAGCGGTTTGAGTTAGGTATTCGATTATTATTTCCGACTATCTTTACGAAGCGAAGAGCATGCACTGGAGCACTGGAGTGGATCTCTGATGGCCTTCTTGGCAGACGACGTAACGTGTTTGCTGCAACAGAACCCATACAGAAATACTATAGCGTCTGTGCGCAGGAGGTCACCCTCACAAAAGCACCAGTTCTTCAATTAATTAACAGCCTGAAAAGAGGGTCTGACTTGAAAAACAGGAATATCGCATTATTGGCCAGGACATCGAATTCCGTCAGCACAAGCAGCGTCGTCATATAAATTCCGCCGGTGCACAGATGGCAAATGGCCGCCGGTGCTACAGATGGCAAAAATAAAAAACACTGATCAGTGTTTTTTATTTTTTTATTTTTGACAAGTGTACCTCATGAGGTACACTTGCCACGGTAATTTGCCGTTAATGCGGAGCAGAGAAACACAGTTTCCTGATATCCGTATAACAGATGCGCACTAGATATCAGGTGTCTGAGCTGTCGTTTTCGGTTCTATCTGATTTTGACATAGTGCTCAAGAGCGGGCAAGAGATTCATAAGAGATCCGATCATCTGTGTGCATCGAAGCTCGCGCTGCGTCGACAGATGTAATATTTGCGAAAGGATCGGCACAGTGGAAGCATTATTAGCTCGGAATGTCGAGGCAAATTCCCGCATTCTCCGATATAATCTAGTATTAGGCAAAGTATTACATAAAACACATGCAACGTTTGCGATTTTTGTGCTTCGGAAGAACAGATATATATTTATATTGTGCGCGCTGTCTTTATAAAGAAATGGCACAGCATTCCATTGTGCGTGAAAGCGGTAACAGTTTTGCATCGAATATTTCAATCAAGGAGTTGAAATATTAACCCACACGCACTGCATAAGACAATGCCCTGTGCATCACGCATGGTGATAACTGCCTCGAAAACGCGTTCAATGCCGGGATACTTTTATAAGCTGTACCGTGTATGGATAATCGCGTTGTCAGCCTTGGGATTCGCAGCTTTTCCAGGTGAGGTCATTGTTCGTGAATGGATCAACCGCACTGCCACTGTCTTCGCCATCTTTCAGGCGGGTACAGTAATAGTTGTTCAGTGTTATACGATATACGATGACTGGCAAGATACCACATTTACTGATTTCACCAGTGAGATACTCTTTACCTCGAGAATTCTAGACGCTGCAGTTATACTGCATGCAGCGGTATTTGGTTGGGTTTCCGGAAGAGAAATTTTGAAGTTGATCATGAATGTCGATGTCAAATTTGGTTCGCTTTTCCTAAAAAAAGAGCAGAAATCACTACTCTTACTTCTGATTATTTGGGTAGCGCTGCAGTTGTTCGTGCAGATATTCGCTTTTCTCTTGAACGAGTTAAAATATTTAGACAGCTGCGCTGGATTAAAAAATTGCGTTTTTCTTGGTTTGCACATGATTTTCTGGAGAATCAATACCTTCGCTCGAAGTGTTATACAGAGTATGGTTCTCTTCACGGGGCTCTTGTTGACCCGCCTAACGAAAAAAGTGCAGCAAGTTCTGTTGTCATCTGACGATTATTATACGGCTAGTTCGTTAAAACATGCTAATGACCTCTACC